AAAAAAAAAAAAAAAAAAAAAAAAAAAAATTCTTGAGTTTATCTAACTAACTTGATGTAATAATAAAAAAATTAGAAGGAAAAAAAAAAAAAAAAAAAAAAAACTTAATATTTTGGGGGCAGAGGAGAGTGAGAGGTTAGAGTAGAGTAGAAAGCCATGTGAGTGGGGGGATTTATTCTGGGTTTGCAAACGGCTCTCAAATCGCGCTTATTTCCCCATTAATTTACGCTTTTACCATCCATACTTTCTATTTCGCAAAAATGACTCTACAAGTTCATAATTGCAATTTTGTCTCATTTTCCTAATCCTAGTTGTCATTTTATTTGTTTGTTTTTTCTCATGTTATGATAACGCAAGGAAACGGAAAAATATAATTAATTTAACTCAATTAATTTATTTGGTTTTTATATTGGTATTAATTTTAATCATTTTTATTTTTCTTCCGGACTATGCTAATATCAAATTATTTAAATTATAAAAAAATAACAATATTCTTCAGTAATTAAGTATATAAAACTAAAATTAATGAGACTAAATAGTCATCACTGAGTGAGTCATAGTAGCATACCACTTTACAACTTTTTTTAATATAAAAAGGTAATTATTAATTTAATATATAGTGCTAAAGGAAGTTCCTCTAACAATGATGATAATATAATTTGTAAGTGGCAAAAGAAATTGAGTTGGTGAGCTAGATAATATTTTTTTTTCTTCAAAATATTATCTAAATACCATTTGAGCTTTATTTAAAATATATATATATAATGAGTATATTAATAATATTTATTATCATCTCAAATATCATAATTTAATTTTGTAATAAATTTTAAAAATATGATAAAAATAATGTTAAAAAATTAGTTCAGTCATACTAGAACACTCTCAAATTATAAAAATAAATAAAATTTGTAACGTTCTTTTTTTCTTTTATAAACATTTTTAATAATGTATTTTCAGAATTGACATGAATGACTACAAGTTTGCATTAATTAAATTGCTATAAATATTCTCATTTTGTTTCATTCAACCCTAATTAATATATATTTAAACTTTCAAGAGCTTTTTGAGTGAATTCTTAATTTATTTGGTTGTGTTAATAATCATATTCATAGATGGTGAATTTTTGAATTTTTTACTTCAAAATAACATATATATATATACGCGTTATATAAGAGTTTATTTGTGTGATACTAAAAACAAACCAATATTAATGTCATTGTCGACTAATTTAAATTGATTTCATTTTAAATGAGATTGTTTATTAAGTAAAATATGAAAATAATTTTTTCTTTAATTCGGCATAATAATGAAAGTTCAAAAACTCATTAGACATAGTCATGAGAGCAACGCCCATGAAAAACGACTCCAAATTCGTAGAAACTTGGTTATCCCAAGAAATCCCATCCGAGTTTGCGCCATTTTGTAGCCTAAAAACAGAAGCGAACTTCAATAGCTAGAGAAATTTGGGGAAGAAAGAGTCCAATGGAACAACATTCCCAGCAGCATTACAGTATCAGATCTGAAGTATTCATACACGTACTGCAGGTAGGGTTGCTATCCAAAAAGAGAGTCAACTATGCCAACCATACAATAAAAGGAAGCTCCTAATAACTTACTTAATGAAGTAATTAGCTTTTTTGAGACTCAGGGCAAGAACTGGCTTCTGACAGCTCAAGCGAAACCGGGCAATGATCACTTCCGTAGAAACCTACATGAAATCAAGATTACTGTCAAAGGTGGTCGTATTGAGAGATATAAGAGTAGGCATATTGTTCGGGAAGCTATTGTTCGTCTTCCCGGACGATGACGTTGGTTGGTTCATGAGTTTGGAGCTTCAGAATGAGTAGTATAACTTACCAAATTATACAATGAACTATATGGAGGAATGAGTTTCAAAAAACCTTAATTTTTATTGTTTTGGCTTGCATATTTGGAAGCAAAAGAAAAATTGTATTAAATCAACGCCAGGCTTGCTTAACTTGAATAGACAAGTCTTGAGCCTGAAAACCCCACCCACCCCAGAAGTGAATGAAAGTATAACTAAAGTTACATGAGTCAGATTTCTAAGAATAATGGACAGCATCTAAACCGAGCTTTGGATAAATATAGACTTCGTCAAAACATCTAACCATCAGTATTGTTTTGAAAATTGTAGGTCCGGTCATGAGATTTCGAATTTGGCGCTAATTCTATAAGCTTAAGAATTATATAAAGAAACATTATAATGGAAGAGAAAGAGAGGGCACCTTGTAATTCAATCCCTTGCCCATGCATCTCACACGAAACAATCCTATCTGCCAGACTCTCGGAAGCTAAGAAATAGTCGATTCTCATCCTTTTGCCTCGGTACCTGAAAAGATATGTAATCATGTCATTGGCAAGCAACAGAAGTTTCATATAAGTGAAAACAAAACAGCTTCGAAGCATGATTTTGAATTTTGGTGTAGATCTCACAAGACTGGAAATTTTCTCCATTCTTTGATGGAAACAATGGGAGTGTGATTTTCATTTCCTCGTTTTTACACGATGATATTCAATCTAATCCGTGCAAAAGTCTTTTAGCAGGGGAAGACTGTTTACTATCTTGCAGATCAGAATACTAATCAAGAAGCAACAGCAATGCCTAAGAAGGGTAAATGCCCTCCCGGATAATCCACGTAATTGACAAGTACAGGCAAAAGGGATAAAGGACTACGATTCATTACTCTTTAAGAGAAAACCACTGCATGTGACAGTTTGATCTAGGTGGAGATGGAGTCTGGTTCGGTCTACTACATGGCGGTATTGTGACTTGTCTCCATATCATTCATTGTTGAGCTAAAAGGGAGTCATCTGTAGAGCCTTATGAATCGAAATCTCCCCATTCCATCTTTTCAGAAATGTGCAGTATTGTTGATATTTCCTTATCAAGTGTCTTGAATTGCTTCAACTACTTCTTGTGCGGAAATGCACCTTCACCCATTCTTACACATTCCTCTAGTGGATTTTGTTCTCTCCAAATCCAAACATCATTGCAGCAGCCTTTCATGTATGGTGTTAATGGAAGTGTCAATCTAACCAGGAGTAGTCCGTAGCCATTAACAGCCTAATAAAAATCCTTTATTGAAAGAAGCGCCGTGGTCTATTAAAATTTTAATCAAACACAAGTGAGCAAGGCGGGCACAAACACCCTCTAGCTCATATGGAAATCCATTGCTCACCAGTGAGCGAGGAGGTTAGTTGCTAACCCACGAACTAATTTCTAAGCCTCAAGAGCTAACTAAAGTGTTAGTTGTAGAAACTAAAACCCAAATCTCTAGAACCAAACACAAGTCATTTAGAAAATATGTACTTTAGTCATTTTAAAAGGTATGTCAAACACCCTCTAACAGCTCTTAACAGTAGACAACCGCTACATGGTAACTGGTAAGCCAAAGAATACGGAGTATTAAAATAGCAGATAGGTATTTCTAGTTAAATCAGTAGTAATCCATGCAGTATCTTTCTTACTTTCCAATAGGGTTCCCAGACCAAGAGAAGCCACACTCCATGTCTTTCTCCTTGTGCAGGAATCTATATGCATCTATCAGCTTTCCCCTGGAACATAATACACGCATGAGGCAAAAGATGCAAACAATTCACCAACATACACATGAATGACATATGTTTCTTTCTTCCTTGGATCAAATAAAAAATTTATAAAAAACTTGTTGCAAAGGATAACTAAAGACGTAAGTTATAACAAATTGACATAGCTCACTTTTGAAATGGACTTCCTACCAGCAGCAACAAAATAATAAAAGGAGCAGAATAAAGTGATGCTACGAGAATGCTAGCAAGAATAAATAATAATAATAAAAAGAACTTTTATTATGAAATTGCATACTCTTTCAATATGGCACTGAAACGCTTCCTTTCAGCCAAGGTAAAACCAGGCTGTCCATAATCCTGCACCATGAAGAAGCTAATTGTCAGTTTTCTTTTTTTTTCTTTTTTTTTTCTTTTTTTTTTTTAATTCTGGGAATACAGCACCGCGCCTGGTGATAGATGATATTCAGATCTTGTTCTAATTACAATTTTTTAAAATATATATTAGGAAACAATACTAATATACCAAAATTTTTTTAATGAATCTTTAAGATAAATCAACACAATTTAGGACTCTAGACTTATTCTCGGTCTTGTTCTGATTCTCTATCTCATCATGAAATATAGCATCCCTTAGTCAACGACTTCAACAATAGTGGGAGCATCATACAACTTTTATTGTCTCATAGGTGCCTATCATTTCAATACTCTATATTACAGCCAAACAAATGATTAGCAAAATAACATTAAATACTTTTAAATAAATGCAAGTCCAAATAGAAATAGATAAGTGTATCCGGCTCTTTTGAAAAAAAAGTTCGCTGGTATTAATAGAGAAACAGAGAACCATTTATGGAAATTCTACGGGAAAAGAATATGGCAGAGCTCTATATGACAAGCTTGTACCTCCTTATTTGGAGGTATGTACCCATTAAGTTTTGCTGCGCTGAAAAACTCTGGATGGCTCACATCAATATCTTCATGACTGCACAATAAATTTAATGCAACAAAATCAGCAAATCTAAATACCATCCATTGGGAATATTCCACTATTTTATATTACCAACAGTTGGAGTGGTATACTCTTGTAGATAAGTGTTAATTTGAACAGGGTAAGCAATTTCCTTCAGATGCTTGATCCTTTTGGCTACTTTTTTAGCACGTAACTCTTTGAACTTTTATTTCTTCATGAAATTTATTAAAGAATTTTGCATAATATGAGTTTTTAAACGGTTTTCTTTCTTTTCGAGACAAATTTGGATCTACAGGCATTGCTCATTGTTACTGATGAATTACTAAGCAAGATTATAAGCCAACTTAAGAAGTGAGTTAAGCTTGATTCATGAAGGTAGAGCAATATCCTGTGACTGATAACCGGTAGCAATAACCAAGATAGAAGCTCATAAATAGCTTGGCCGTGAATGATGGATAGAACATAGTCTACATAGATGTCAATAAATATGAAAGAAATTGAAAGTTCATGAAATAGGACCATCCTTCAACTTAATCAAGACCTCTTACCTAACATTTAAGTCGCCGCACCATATAAGAGGCTTATCAGAAGATTGGATAACAAATTCCAACATTCTCTTATCCCATTTTCTTCTCCTCTTAAAAGAGTTCTCCTCTTCCTTCCATCCATTATTTGGTGAATATGTATTCAATAAACGAAATTCCTCGAATTCAGCTAAAATTACACGACCGTCCACTTCATGCTTTGAAGCTACAAAAAGGGACACCTGTATGATTTAATTGCTATTCCTTGTACAGATGTGAAATAACAGATTAAATATCCCACAAACTAGTTCTTTGTCATACACATTGTATGAGTCAATATATCATTAAGAGAACAGGACATTGAATGCATCAATCCATCAATAAGAGAACAGGACATTGAATGCATCGATGCAACTCCTCAAATAAAAAATGAATGCATTAATGCATCAATAGAAAAACACTACATAAAATGTTACAACACATCACGGAGAGAAGATACCTATTCTGTCCAGATTGAAGAAAACCTTTTTTGGTTGAAAACACTTTTTTATAAACAATGCAGTTCCAGCATACTTGGAATCTGAAAGAGACCACCAAACACGATAATTTGCAAATGGTGGACTGGAAAGAGCACGCATCAACATCTGCATGATTTTAAGGTTGCATTATAAGTAATAATCATAATTTTCCACCCAGAACACTGAATTATCAGCATTGAAGACAACTATAACTCACCTACAAATCCTCCAAGATATGAAATAAAATTTCAGCTAGATTAGAATTTCAAGGAACCCAATAGGCTTCCAACTCATCTAGATAATTAAAGAATTACTCCAGCTCTATGCCTTAAAATTACAAAAGTAAAAAAAATAAATCATTTTTGCTCTTCTTTTCATCAATTGGATTATTATTAGTTCACAAACTTCATCAATTAAGTTTTGTAACCAATCTTCACATGCTTTACTTGACAAGTTTATTCATCTAAGAACTTGATAGATGCACAGAACAATACTAAATTCAATGTGTTCGACACTCATTCGTCTTTCTTTTCTGCTTGATATATCAAACTTCCTCACTCATTCAGAAGCCTCAATTAATAAAAAGTAACATGAGGAAAATGTTACCTGCTTCTCTTCCCGTGATGCGCTTGTGTCATCTTTCAATTCTCCTTGGTTTTTAGATACACCTTTTGAACCTGCTGCAGGAATCCTTACTTCCTAGTGTGTAAACATAGTCGATGATAAGGTTACAGCCCATGTAAGTGGATAATTTGAGTCTAATGTAATTCTACAAGATAATGCGTCAGATGGAGCACTAGAATAAAGAACTCAGTATCAGATGGATTCATCAACTAAATAACTGATCTGCTTAACTGCAGTCCATACAGGTCCATATGGTTGTTAAATCCTAGACGGTGGGAAGTGAAATTAAGACAGTCCCCTATAAACTTATCTAATGATTCAATTGATGCCACCTACTTCAAAATAAAATCTCTACGACCCTCCCTATGCTTCAATCCTCAAAGATATTTCTTGCATAATCTTTCACTTTTCTTTCACCTATGAAATTTATGTCCCTGAGAATGTTTGAAAAAAATTCAAGAAACGAAGCAAGAATGACCTATATAGGTCATGAGGACTATTTTGGCTATTTAAAGGAGATTTTGGGGGAGAAAAATAGGATAATTATCCTATACAATTCAGAAAGATAATCTGGAACACAAATTTGGAATTGAATGATGGTTTCACATTATGAATCGGTTGCAAGTTACCAGGGAGTACTGTAGCTACTCCTCCTAATTTCAGCTCAAATGAGAGCATTTCTTAGTCTTCATTTTATCTTATGCTTAAGGTCTCCCGAAATTTCTGTTCTCTTTCTTCTACATTTCTTTTAGAGTCAATGTAGTTCATCTTCTGTGTGTATGTGGTACAGGGTCCTGAAACTAGAACTACAGCTAACCTTCAAAGATACCTTGTGAAAAAACTCAAGAAACAATCCTACTGTAATGAAACATCAAAATGTCATCATCAACTGCAGATGATCCACACCCATCTTATAAGAAAATCTTAACAGGATTTTCAATGTCATAACTTTTCTGAGAGCTAATGCATGAACTTCCTTAAAGAAGAGAGAGGGACAGAGAGAGAAGATATAAAACATGCCAAGCTAAGCATCTACACCAACACATTCAGTAACTCGAATTACTAATTTCTTGCAGGCAAAAGAATAAAAGAAATGTAAATCATGCGAGACCTAAGCAAGTGAACCAGCACATTCCAGGAATTATCAATTTCTCACAGCCGATTAAGAATTATAAGAACTCGCATTTACTATTCAAATATCTTGCATGATCCCAACTAGTGTACAACCTAGCTTCCTGAAACACACATTCATGAAAATTCACAGAACAGCCAAAACCAAGTGAAAAGAGATCAAACTTCAGCGTCTACAAACTTCGCACAAGGTAAAGCAGAGACATTGACGCAAAACTCACTTGTATGGCAATAACATCCGGATCAAAATTGGTGACGAACTTGGTGAATTCCGGCCAGTCGTTTTTAACTCTGAGAAGTAAACTATTTGCATTCCAAGTTATAAACTTCAGAGGCTCTTTCTTGTCCGACACTGATGCTTCCGAATCATCACCATCTTTCAGTGAAGGTGAGAGAGCCGCCTTCTTCGAAGACCCTTCCTTCTCTATTGGCTTAAAGAAGCGCTTCATCCTTCACTGACCTCCAATGGCCGTATGTACTTCGCGGGAACTTTGGGTCTTTCTAAAGCTTTTCACTCACGGTCACAGCCCACCACTGGTAACATTGGCGTCGTTCCACTCCAAGGCCTTGATGACAAATTATTTATATATATTCTTTTTCTTTTTGCAAAATCTACAAATTTGTTTTTGATTTCTAAAATTTTCGATTTGGTTCTTAATTTTTGTTAGTTAATATTAAAATTATTTATTATCTTTAGTCTAAATTTTAATCTCTTAGGTTTTTTTATTGGGTTAATATATAGATAATTTTTAACGGATTATTATTATTAGACAGAAAAATAATATTTGAATTGAATTTTAAAAAATCTAGTCGGAAACAGTCCGTTCACTAGCGAAGAACAAGCTTCAATCTAAAACAACATAACTAAAGTGATAGTTAAAAACATATTAGAAACAATAGCCTACGACAAGGTATGACATAGTGATATCGTACATTGTTTAAATATTTTAACATGACGTTATATTTCTGTTGATAAATATTAATTTTTTTTAATGAAATGATCTAATTAAAAAAAGTAAGTTTCGAGAACGTATAAAATTTAAAATGACCTAAAAAAATATTGGCGTGTAGTGACTCCAAACATTTACTTATTTTTCATTTTCGTTTTTGAATTTTTAAATTCAAAATTTATGATAAAATTTTGAGATTATATAGATGCAAACTTCAAAATTCTGGAACTCGTCTGGAACTCGTCCCAATTTCAAAATTCAGGAACTTGTCCCAACTACAATCAGGTACAGACGAGAACCTAAATTTTGTGAACTATAGAGCCGAAGAGACGAGAACCTAAGTTTTATGAACTATAGAACCGAAGAGTTTGCGAGTGAGAATCAAATATATTAGAAACTAACCTAATTGAACCAATGGTCCTGATTAACACATTGGTTCCATCAAGGAAGTACTGCATGGAGAGATATATCCAGGAAGCATCTTCATTCAGTAAATGCTGCTTTTACATTTCCTTGTAAGAAATATCATGTGTATTCTACATCCTAATCTAATGAGGATGAAGCCAATGGCAGAGGTTTCAATCTTTAACACGACACGATGATAAGCTATTACATAATCGAGATACGGCTACTGTTTTAATCAAATTCGACTTAGCTGAATCGAGCAACGGATCAGCCTCAAGAGCTTTCTCAAAACAATACTTAGCCTCCTCCCATCGACCCTCTGCAATAAACACTAATCCTAGATTGTTAAATGCAGGTGCATAACCAGGTTGCAGTTCCAGAGACTTTGAGAACATAGCTTTGGCACGTTCGTACTGTTTTTGCTGTCGATACAGATTTCCGAGGTTGCAAAATACGGAATGTGCTTGTTCTGTGGCCACCAATGACAAAGCTTTCTTGTATACTTCTTCGGCCTGTGTCGGGTTGTCTGAGAGTTGCAACGAGATACCTAACGATACACGATTGACTAATGAGAGAGATAGAGAGCCAAGAGATTTACTAAAATTCGACATTAAATTGTATTGACATACCTAGGTTTGACCATGCATAGCTACAGTTCTTAAAGCGAGCAATTGCAGCTTTGAGGTATCTTTGTGATGTTTTAAATTCTCGTGTACAGAGACTGTGGAGGCCGAATTGATGCCACTGAACAGCATCATCTGGGTCCTCAGCTATTCCCTATAGGTTAAGAGTAAGGCAATACCCACCATCAATCTAACAAGAACATCAATAATAGAAGATGGAAATATATTATTGTAGACTTTCAAAATTAAAACAATCATATGTATGCATAAAGATTTTCCACAAAAATGTCATTTTCCTATCAGTAGGCTGCTTTGCTCCTTGGATTATTCCAAAGAAACTAGATTCAAAGAGCTGGAAATAATAAAAGTTGTGATCCAAAGTCCTCGACAGTTGATGTAATAGCCTAAGCCCACCGCTAGCAGATATTGTCTACTTTGGCTCGTTACGTACCGCCATCAGCCTCACAGTTTTAAAACACATTTGCTAAGGATAGGTTTTCACTCCCTTATAAGAAATATTTCGTTCCTCCCTCCAACCGATGTGAGATCTCACAATCCATCCCCCTTAGAGGCCCAGCGTCGTCGTTGGCACACCGCCCGGTGTCTGACTCTGAAATCATTTGTAACCGTCCAAGCCCACCGCTAGCAGATATTATCCGCTTTGGCCTGTTACGTATCACCATCAGCCTCACAGTTTTAAAACACGTATGTTAGAGAGAGGTTCCACATCTTTATAAGAAATGTTTCGTTCCCCTCTCCAATCGATGTGAGATGTCATAGTTGAACAACATGAAACCACATTGAAATTAATGGATACGAAGTCCTTGGTTTTCATTCCTTTGGAAAGCCTTTTGCTAAGACTAAAAGCTATACGTTATAAAAAGAATAAAAATTCGATAGACGACTAAGAGCTTATAAAAAAAATTGTGTTTCTTAAACACTTGTATGGGTCAAGGTGGACGATTGGGGACCAACAACAAAGCTAGGGCTGTATCTTTCAGAAACGAATAGTCAAGGCTAATCAAAATGGAGATTACCAAATGATAATTAGCATACAAGAGATCTTCAAAAGTCCAATCACCATCGATAGAAGAATTTAATATCGTACCGAATACATATTGCCAGCTTCCATTCCAACATAGTCCAAATGATAATTTAGGGCCAAGCATGATTATAAGCATACTTTCTAGTAGCTTGGTTAGACAAAAAATACGTTCAGAGCCAGAGATTGATACCTGATATAAACTGTAGACGGCATGTTCTTCCACTTCTCTCAGTTCACTCTGATCTGTACGAAATCCAGAAGCAATCTCATGTTGAGCCTTGTGAACCATGGAAAGCCCAGCCCATGCTACAGGATGATCGATTGTCAAGCCATCTCCATCTCTAATAATTGAGGCCATTTCATTTCCAGCCCAGGAGAGCTGCTCACTACGATCTTGAGACCTTTCTGCATCCTTAAGTCGGTGCATAGCAACAGAATATCTCATAGCCATGCAATTTGGCTCTAGTTTTGCTACCTGTTGAGTATTTACAAGAGGAGAGAGAATTAGCTAATTTGAGGCCAAAACATCAAGACCCTTCTATTAATGAATTCATACAGCTATGCATACACAAGGTAAAATTCTACAAAGGTTTCCGGTAAAGGCTGAATATTCCATCTTTTCCACAAAACTAGACTGACATGAGAAGAAAACCTTATCCCAAAGAATAGAGATCCATGAGCACCTTCTCCAAGCACTTGGCAGAACTTCTGTGGTCCCCAGTCACAAAATACACATTAGCAAGATTTGCCCAGGCATGTGCTGCTTTTGGATCTACCTTTAGAGTCGCTAGCAAACATTCCTTTGCAACATTCATACCTACAACCTTCTCATCAACACCACCTTCACCAGCATTTGCTCCAGCACCTTAATATTAAATTAGAAGAATGAGTACTTTTTGTGTATGGGGAAACACAAACTAATTAAGGTTCTAATAAGTAGGCCAAAAAAGGGGAAAGAAAAAGGTGATGACCGAACCCATTCCAAATATTTACAAAATAAGAGGGACCGTCAACAATGTCCTTTTCATAAGTACAATCTCTAACAAACAAACAAACCACCTCAAGCACATACCTACAACAGTAGAACCATACTTGCACAAGAGAAAAGCAGCATAGTTGATGAGAGCAGCAGGATGATTTTGATCTTTCAGGATCAATTCTTGAAAACATTTTTCTGATAGTTCCATGTTTCCACTACAACATATGTCCAACAGTAGCATGTACTTAGTATGATAGTATTAATCCAATTGGCACATTCTCAAGGCATGAACTTCTTGTACTAACTATCGACAATGACAGGACATGCAAAAACACATACAAGTGATTATACATGCACAACATCGAAAGTACTCAAAATTATCCAATTAACAAATAGCCATAGGATAATTGTTATGTGCAAAGCCAGTAAGGATACTGTATTTCTTAGGGAAAAAATTGGAAGTAAGAAGCATGCCTGACTATAAAGAAAGCTTAGGACCTTCTGAGTAATTTGAGAATTGTCGATTGAACATGCATATATTAACTTTAACGAAGCAATGGGCTTTAGCATTAATTCCATGATTATCTCATTTGCATCATCACTAATGTTTATTGGTGTACAACTCAATTTTGTCGAGTATACTGCCTTCAGTTGCTTATTTGTTCAAGTTCTAGTATCGGTTCCCTAACTCCTCAACATTTACTGGAACTGAAGTTAGAAAAACCTGAAGAGACGCAGGAAAATTAGATTTCAGACAATCATGGACGATTGTTGATATACCTTTGAAGATAAGCAATTCCAAGGTTTCCAAGGCAATCATAGTTGTTAGGGACAATGGCCAACAGGGATGATAACACTGAAAGGGCACTCTGGACATATTAACATGAGTCCACATTAGTTTCTAATAGGAGAGCAACCACGGAAGTGAATAATAATAAACATGCACCTTCACTCGACCAGTAGAAAGAAGTATCAAGCCTAGGGTATTCCACATAGCTGCCTGTCTAACATCAGATTGAATTGAATGCTTAAGTTTAGAAAGAATCTCGTCAAGCTCCTCTTGATCAAGTTCTTTGTCTGAACTATTATCCCCTGCACTTTCTAGAAGGAGACACTAGACAGTTCATAGAACAGGTGAGCATAATCAGGTTGGTAATATCTATTATTTACAAATAGAGACGAAGTATAACGTAAGAGGAGAGAGGTAAGGCTGAACATGGATATAAAATGTAACCTGTGCATGATGAGTTTGGACCAATGAGAGCAACTCTGGCCTGTGAATCTCAACATCACTTTGGAGTAAGATTTCCTCTGCCTTCTCATATGCTGAAACAGCCTGAAAGAGTACCACAGTTTTAATTAATAATAGAACAAGAAAATTAACCAAAACAAGTATGGTGTGCAAGCCAAGCTACCTTTTGTGGCTGGCCCAACCTCTGATACATTAGGCCAAGAATGAAATGAGCGTGAGCATTTTTTGGCATCTTTCTTGCTACATGAACTAACCCCTACAGGCAGGCATTCCAATAATCAAGGTAAATAAGAAGTCACATCCTGAGTACTTGGTTGTGGGGTGAGGGGAGTGAGATGTGGCCGTGGATGTATGTATTGAATACAGAATAAGCTTCAACATTTAAGCGAAGCTTTGAAAACAAATGGATAACATAGAAGACTATAAATACACAATTTGATTGAATTTCTGCAATAGAAAAGGATACCCAAGTGCAACAATACATTTTTATTTGGAACAATTTCATCAACAAACACTCCGTACACTGATCCTTCAGGAGATCAAACTGCATAAGCAATCGTCTTTTAAAAATAAAATAAAATAAAAAAAGAAACAAAACTTTCACTGATAAGATAAAAAGATACTAAAATTCAAAAGATACAAACTCCACGTAGAAGAAAGAAAAAACATTCCAAAATAAACAAATATCCTGCAGAAGAAACTTGCAAGATTCGCAAAGACAGCTCCAAAAAAAACTCCCAAAGATGCAAAATCCACCAACTTAAGACAATAAGCCCCTAAAATAGCTTCTACCAAAAATGCTTGCCAAAAAAAACCAGACTGCAAACTAACAGTTTCAAGGCGATCCAACCAAAGGAGAAAATTTCTTGCAAAGATGCTTTAAATCCAAACAAAAACGAACTCCAGAATTTGCGACAAGCTAAAACCACCAATATGAGACAGAAAAGTCCCATAACATGCTGCGCCCACCATACCAAACACGCCAACCAAAAAGGAAAAAGGAAGATCCATGAAAGGCCAGAGAAAACCCAGCAACCAGACCAACAAGACCAAAACCAAACCTTGAAACGACAACGCATCTTCTTGAGAAATAAAAAGATATGAAGGAAATATAACAAAATCTGCCACAAAAAACCCTGGACAAAACCCGGATCAAACAAACTGCTGAAAGAACAAAGGGATCAAACTACATGGTGACTGTTATTATTGGTATTTCAATCTCCTTGATGTTTGGCAGCAGTGGCCTGTGTCTTTACCTTTATCCTGCGATACGTCTTAAAGAAAACTACTTACCATCCAAAAGGAGAAGTCTGAAATATGGGAATGAAAAAGGGCGCCCCCATTAGCCATCCAAAAATCTGATTTTCCCCAGCTCACAAACCAAAACATAATTTTAGTCGTACAATTCGAAAGAAGCAGCCCATGAGCCAAAAAAATTATATGCATGCAAAAATTAGATGTAAACTTGTCTGATAGAGGTCTTAAGTTAAGAAATAGCTGGCCCTTCTTACAAGGTTTACATGCACACAAGATTTTTGAAACCACCTTTTCACATGGCAAGCAATAGAATGCATCATATGGAAGATGCAGGAAATACAACAGCAAAGGAAGCAGGTGATATACAGAAAACAAAAGGTTAAAATGAGAAGAAAACCAAATATTGACAAAACTCACAGTTTTGAGGCTGCTGACTTTTTCTTCGCGTGAAGTTGAAACACCTTGACCATGTTGATCACCATCTGCATCAGCTGCAGAATCAAGAGAGTACTCTACCTTATTGTTTCTTGAACGGCACTTCCCTATTTTGCTTACATGTCTACCTTCAACTTCCATTGTATTAGTATCCTTGCAAATTGCCACAGTTTTGTCTTGATTGCTCTCATCCACAGATAACCTAAAATCGCACGCTTATTTTTAACAAGAAGCCACAAAAATTTATTACAATAATTTCGAGTAGGTACTAACCTATAGGAAAACCTCAAACCCTAAAATGGACCTTTTTCTGGGACAAAGAAAGTAAAAAACCTTGATTATATTTCAGTTCCCAAATTTGGTATTTTGCCTTCCTTGGAGGGCCCCTAATGATACAGCTGAACCTCACGAAGAGGCTTAAGATCATATGCCGTCACGCTGTCTTTAACCTTTTTGTTTGGTATTTAATGGAGGAGAAGATTTTCGGATGTTTCACTGAAAGGAATTTTGATGAGGTTTGCAAGAAAATTTTAAACAATGAGAGCCTTTTGAGCTTCTTGATTACAGTGACTTCTGCAATTATCTTAATCTTTTGTCATGTCTAGTAAGATAACTCGTTATCCAGTTAATCTCATGTTTGGGTTTGAACTCCTAGTAACTAGTGCTCCCTCCAATTTTACATGTTGTTGGGTGGAATGCATGTTCCATCCAAAATAATAGTACTAATGAGTTCATGCGGTAAACAAAGACAATCGATGAAGCATTATTTTGACACATTTTCTTCGTTTCATAAGCCTTGATTCACAATTCACACCATCCATTACAGAAATCCTACTTTAAAAGATAATTTGATTAGCAGGTAAGGACGAATACATAAAGGGCACTTTCTCAAAGTACCTCCGAATCATTAGCAAGAAGGTCAGCAACTTCTTTTGTACTATGTTTTTCTAGTTTTAATTAGACTGTTAACAAATAACCTTAACTACTCTCGATCAAAAAACAAGAAACAAACCGCTCAACAGTTGGCCGGTACAATTTTGGTTCTTCAAGAGTAAATAGACCACAATTAAAACCAGGACTCCCTAGCAAGGAAATTTTATGTACCAAAAGGAGTAAACGCTACCAAAAATTTCCAAATTCGATTAAAGAAGTAGACAGAGTACAAAAAAAGAAAGTAACCTAGAGATAGTCGAAGCTGAAACGTGAACGGAACTGTCGTCGTCCATTTCTGGAGGATCAACATTGAGGTCAGCAAGAACAACGACTTTAGAAGAATGGGCCGCCTTCGAGTGCTCGTCGAGGGAGCTGTCCGATGCTCCATGTTCTGTCTTGAGAGGCATTTTGGGAGCAGCTGGAGCTTTTCTGCGCTTGAAGACTTTGTGGCGCAACTGTCGACGCGAAAGAAGTAAAGAATGAAAGAAGAAGACCCTTGTTTGGTTGCTTGGATTGCTTAACCGCTGTTTGGATGCGGAAACAACCTGCACCGACTTACGCTTGCTGACATTTTTGGTGTAATTTTAACGCAGGATTAAAGAAAAACATTAAGGTGACCTTAATGTTTAAGGATTTCTTTATTATTATTTTTCCCCTTTTTGAATATAATACAAAGAACAAACAAATGAATTTGTTTGGAGTAACCGTAGTGTTCATACCATCCGAACAATCTTATCATTCAACCCAAACTACAAAAATGGTTCGAAACTAGAGTTGATTTAAATTTAGACATGTTTATTTTTTTGAAATCGAAAAAAGCCAATCCGCCAAAATAAGTATTGTTAGGTCAACTTGATGACTTGAAATAAGGTTCACAACTCAATTTATTTATATTTTCTCGAAGAAAATACAAAAGATACATACCTCTGAAGTATCAAATACTAAAAACTTGAATAAATTACATCACAAAAATCACGACCTTAAAAACGAATACCACTTTCCACAATAATATGATATTGTCCACTTTGAGCACAAGCTCTCATAACTTTGCATTGAATTTCCCCAAAAGACCTCATACCAATAATGGAGAGAGTATGATTATAAACTCCATGATCATTCCCTAAATTAGCGAATGTGGGACTTTCATCATCCAATAGCTCTCCTGGAACAAAATGTGCCTCCCTTTAATGGCACCACTCCTAAAGGTCGATGATCTCATACCAATAAATGTAAGTTGGTCGATGATCTAATGAACTACGAAAAAATATGAAACCTAAGAAAAGTAGATTAAATCTCCATAACTCTGTGAACTCAATCTCGAGGACCAAACAAAGAAGGGCATTTACATGGAAGAAAAAGCATGCCCGTAATTGAAAGGCCTAATACAAAAATAAACAAAAGAGAAGAAAAAAAGCACGAGAAGAAAATTAGTAGTGATTTAGTGATTTAGTGAAACAAAGCATGCCCTTTGTTTCCATGTTGTGCGAAGCAGCAGCAGCAGAAGAACATATTATGAGATATAAAAGATCCTGTCTAAACATCATATCACAACACTTACCCCTAAAGTTCCGAAGAACAGTGAAGAAAAAGGAGAAAAAATAAGAAGCAGAAGCCGAGATTTTTATACATTGGCAAAGGATCATCATATTTATTATCTCCTTATCAGGCCTCTGCTAAAGTAAGACCATCATCACGAGGAGGAAGAAGGAAAAGATCTCATCATCATTATCTGATCTACTATTCTACCTTAAGATGAGTCAAAGCATGCAGCAGAGGAGAGCTCGTGGCACTTCGAAACGGTGTAGAAGAGATTGAACAATCTAAAACTCTGTTTTTTCCCTCAGGAAGCTGCAGCCAAGAGCACTGAAGAATCTGCTGCATCCCCAGATGATCCGAAGGAGGATGGTAAAAGCCATCCTTTCTTTTGGGCGTGCTCCACATAGGAAGTGAATTTCTTGCTTGCATTTGGAATATCGAGTGCGAGATCGTCGAGGCTGTCTTTGATCCTAGAGAAGCCTTTGGTCATTTGGTTGATGGTGATCAGGCCAACATTGAAGCATTCCTGTAGAAGATCTAGAATCCTGTCGTTCTTCTTCTCCATGGCCATAACCAATGCCTTCTTCACAACCTCGTGGTTGAAGAAAGGCATCCCTAGATCACGGATGCACTGAAGAGCTTCACTCACAACTCCTCCACTTTCGTACTCCTCTAAGAGCTTCTGAATCTTGTCTTTCGCATCCTCTACTGCCCAGCCAGTTCCACCACCCCAGCATCTTAAAAGCCGCTCACCAGCGTGCCGAGCTGCAATTAATGACCGGGCCATTCGAACAGTTTCACTACCTGTACAATTTGGGATCAACCTACAAGCGATATCCTCGAGATTTAGAGGAGCCAAGACGTCATCAATCACAGCTCTGGCTAGAAAGAGAGCAAGCTCATTTGATGCATCCAAAATGTCTAGGGCTGTATCTTCTGCAGACTCAAGTAGCATTACAAAACCATTGACTATATCGTCCGTAGAAAATATCTCGATGTGAAGAACTGAAAGGAGCACGGAAGCCATTTCTTTTTCTCTGTTTTTCCTATCCATTGCAAGTGTAATCAGCCTCTTCAAAAAGATTGGATTATACTCGGGTGCACCAAGATCTTCTAGGCTTCTTATTAATTCAGGAATGTCATCTGAAAGAAAATATTCATGAATTATAGTTACAACCTCTTCCTTATAGCGCCTCAACTTTTCATCTGTAGATCCAACATCTATATCTTCATCCGAAGATTTCATGAAGGAAGCATCGAGCCATCCTTCAGATATGGCCCTCAGGACCAACGATTCAAACAACGATTTTGCCAATGGTACATCAAGAGCAAGGTCGTCAAGGCTCTCCGCCAGCCTAGAAAACCCCTTAATCATTTGACTTGAGCTTATCAGACCTTCTTCAGCAGCTTCATTCAGAAGCTTCAGAATCAGGGGTTCTGCTTTTCGGATCTCCATGGCAAGAATCAAAGCCCTCTTCACAACCTCATGATGAAAGAATGAAACGCTTAACTGCCTTATACATCTGCAAGCCTCGATGGTATCTCCATTCTCAACATATTCCCTTAAGAGATAAGCTATCTTTTTCTTCACTTCCTCAACTGTAAAATGTGTGCTGCCTCCCCATTTTTTCTCCACAAGTTCGGCATGATGTGGAGCAGAGAGATAGCTCTTCTCGGCAGTTTGGATAGCCTGAGTTCCTTTGGATGGTTCCAACAATGCCTTCCTTGCCCTGGCTAGAAATGCTAAGGGAAGTATGTCATCAACTACAGCACGAGCTAAGAACAAAGCAAGGATATCAGCTGCGTCTGGTATATCGACAGCAAGATCATCAGCAGATTCAAGTAACATAAAAAATCCATCTCTTATATGGGCAGGACTGATAACATCGGCATACAAAGCTGATAACAGAACTGAAGCCATTTCCTTCTCCTTATCATGTCTGTCCATTGCCATAGATACTAGCCGTTTAATAAAGTAAGGATGATAGTTACTTGAGCCTAGATCTCCAAGATCAAATGCAGCCAATTCCACGTCACCAGCGCTAAAGTATTCCTCTATAATAGATACAACAGATTTCTTAAAATTATCTAAGGGATCTGATGCAGTCGACCCAACAAGTTGATATCGTTCCTATTAAAGAGGAAATGTCAAAGACATTACAAACATTTAGGTTTGGAAAGAATAATAATTTAAAAGCTTCTCCATAAATCTCAATCCACCAAATACAACTCCACTAGCGTGTGTACTATTACCAGTCCATATGTTAGGCAGTACATGGGCAATCGTGCAAGTACCATTAGCATCACAAGTTGCGATCATCGTACCTCAAACCTTAATAATTGGGTATGCTATTTTCTCCGGGAATTAGGTTCATCATAGGGCAGACATTCATATGCGTTATTGGGCAATCATACACAATATCAGAAAATGAACTCCAACTCAATATTGAAATTACCTCGCCACTGTCATAGTTAAGATCATTTCTGTCAGTATGAGAATCATCATCAGTGTCAAGCAATTTACCCAAGGTGCCCTTTCCACCAGCCCCATCTGCTAACAACAGTATATACTAGTGATTAAAAAGTAACAGGTTAAGCTGCTTAAATTACATCTCAAAATATAAATAGTCTCATGTATATAATTTAACAGGGTACGATTTCAAAACCATTGACTTGTTCACTACAGAACCAGAAATGAAAATGAAGATGGCTAAGGAGAAAGGCGAAGGGAAATGTTTCACAGGCAAGGCTGAAAATAAATTTAAATCCACCAATATAATCATACAGATTTCACATCCATATACTAAAATTCTATGGGTGGGAAGCAGACTTAGAAGCAATCTGCATTATATTGCTTTTATGTTTTCTTTTTTGTATTAATGAAATCATTCACATAAAAGCATTAATCGTCAAGTTCTAATAATCATGATTTTAACTGTAAACTGAAGAAATAAACTAACAATGTAAGGATAAAAAGAAACTGATGCAGTTACAAATTATATCAAATAACTATATAAAACATTCAGAACAGAAAAAATATGTACTTCGACATTCAGTATCAATTCAAATGCATAAATCAAGACTACAATAATATCAGATGAACTCACCCTTTTTCACCCTAATATACTTCCCAGAGTTAGATCTACGCACGTGCTTCACATTAGCTCCAGGTGCCGGGACGTTCCCACCAGAAGGGGCTTTTATACGATATTCAGGAAGTGAGCTTTTGGGAGACTTTGGAGAGGATGATAAAATATCCACATTTTGAGTTGCTACTTTCAGCACTTCCCGCTGCTCTTCAGTCAGAAATCCTTCATTCGAGGCCATTTATGCTGGAGATGCGAATACCTACAGGCTAATTAAAATTCATAGGGGGAAAAATGCACATACATACAGAAAAAATTGAAAAATAAAGTCGATGATTAAAATATGCATTTATATAAATGGCTTCACCTCTACATCCGTCTCATGCTAAAAAATAAAAATGCATCCTACCCAGATGCTACAATATAGTAACCAAAAGCACAACACAAAATGACTAGAAATCTATTAAATAAAAATTCGATTAGAAAAAAGGAAAAAAAAAAAGGAGGGGGGGGGGGGGGGGGGGGGGG